GATGAACCACAAAGTGGAGTCAAGATTGCTGGGAGAAGCAACCTCAGATATGCAGATGATACCACACTAAGGGCAGAAAGTGAAGAGGAACTAAAGAGCCTCTTGAAGGTGAAAGAAGAGAGTGAAAAAGCTGGCTTAAAATTCAACATTTAGCAAAACTAAGATCATGGCATCTGCTCCCATCACTTAATTGCAAATAGATGGGGAAAAAGTAGAAGCAGAGACAGCTTTCATTTTCTTGGGCTCCAAAATCACTGCAGATGGTGACTGTAGCCACAAAATTAAAAGACGGTTGTTCCTTGGAAGAAAAGCTATGACAAACCTAGACAGTATATTAAAAAACAGAGACATCACTTTGCCGACAAAGGTCTGTATAGTCAAAGCAATACGGTTTTTCCAGCAGTTACATACGGATGTGAGAACTAGACTATAAAGAAAGCTGAGTGCCGAAGAATTGTTCCTTTCAAACTGTGGTGCTAGGGAAGACTCTTGAGAGTCCCTTGGACTGCAGGGAGATCAAAGCAGTCCATCCTAAAGGAAATCAACCCTAAATGTTCACTGGAAGGACTGATGCTGAAGCTGAAGCTCCAGTACTTTGGCCACATGATGCAAAGAGCCAATTCATTGGAAAAGACCCTGATGCTGAGAAAGATTGAAGGCAGGAGGAGAAGGGAGCAACAGAGGATGAGATGGTTGGATGATATCACTAACTCAATGGACATGAGTCTGAGCAGACTCAGGGAGAAAGTGAAGGACATGGCATCCTGGCATGCTGCAGTTTATAGGGTTGCAAAGAGTTGGACATGAGTTAGCAACATAATTGTAAAAGCAACATAATTGTAAAAGCAGTTACAGCCACTAACAGTGAGGAGATGAACATCAAGATGTAAAATATAGAATCAAATATATAGACAGTGTACAAGGGAAGTAAAAAAAAAAGCAGATCTTTTAGAAAGTGTTTGACCTTAAATGACTGTCACTTTAAAGCAAGTATATAAAATTATGAGTCAACGTATGATCCCCATGGTAATCATAAACCAAAACCTACAATAGATACAAGATACACAAAAACCAAAACAAAAGGAAACCAAGCATAGTACCAAAGAAAAACCAAACCTCAACAGGAGAAACAAGAAGTGAACAGAGAACTACAAAAAAATGGAAAACAAGGAATAAAATGGCATCAAGTATGTAGTTGTTGTTCGATTACTAAGTCATGTCCAACTATTTTTGACCCCATGGTCTGCAGCACGCCCAGCTCTTCTGTTCTTCACTATCTCCTGGAGCTTACTTAAATGCATGTCCGTTGAGTCGGTGATGCCAACCAGCCACTCATCCCGTCATCTCCTCCACCCACCTTCAATTTTTCCGAGCACCAGGGTCTTTTCCAATGTTCTTTGCATCAGGTGACCTAAGTACTGGAGCTTCAACTTCAGCATCAGTCCTTCCAGTGAATATTCAGGGTTGATTTCCTTTAGGATTGACTGATTCGATCTTGCTGTCCAAGGGACTCTCACGAGTCTTCTCCAAAAATAAAATAAAAAAGAGTCTTCTCCAGCACTACGATTCAAAAGCACCAGTTCTTAAACCAGTGCATTGTGACATGCTTAGCAAAGTGCCTGACACATAGTAGGTTCTCAGTCTCTCCACCCCATCTGCCTCTGAAATTTAATTAAAATCAATTATAATCAATTAGAATGTTTCTTCATCAAATCTGAATGTCTCATTACACTTAAAGTCAATTTCTTTATTCTTAACAGTTTTTGATAAAAGATGAACAGTAACTTTCATGTATTTGAAAAATAGTCATAATAAATTATTTTCCCCCCTGTGACCAGTAATCTTAAATTTTGATTCATGCAGTTGGTAAACAATCTGAAACATTGAGTCTGTGCAGTACACTGAACACTGCAGAGTCATCTCCCCTTCGATTGTCCTCCCAACTTTGCATAATCCATTCTATTGGAAAATTTAAAAACACATATTATTCAGAACTCAAATCAACTATGAATGCTTTTTTTAAAAACATTTTTTTTCCCTTTTTTCCCCCCCTTTTTTCCTGCTGCCAAAGAATTTGACTATAGTTTCCATTATGGAGCATCATTTTCTAATATTTTTCCTGTTTGTGATCTGATTCTTAATCAGCCATAAAAAAAATTAAGAAATAAGAAACAGGAGTCAACACAGAAAAAGAAATGTAAACAGAAGTTGTAAAACAAAAGAAATTTAGGAAGATAAGGAAATGGTTCTTTCCTCCCCTTCCTCTTGCCCCCTCCTCCCTCCTCCGTTTCTCACAAAGCCCTGCGTCCACTGCAGGAGGTTCAGAAGGCCTCAGGTAGTCTGGAGCTCTGACCTTCACCTAGCTCTGGTGAAATCACCTCTGTGACCTCAGACGTGTTGCTGGTCATTACATGAATGTCTTAACTCCCAACACCCACAACCTCTGGGACTCCACCTGGGCTGTGTATGTGATACAATGTTTCCCATTCTCTCCAGCTGAGGACTTTTGTTCTGTGTCAGGTTTTAACACATGAACATCAAGGCCAGGTCTCTGCTTAGCGTGTTGAGGGGTGTGATGCTGGGACGTGGGAGGACCCCCACAGTGAGTCTGTCACCGGTTTCACTCTGATGTGTCACCCTCTGCTAGACACTGTCTCCAACTAAAAAAGTGTAGCAGTTCCTGCAGGTCTGACCTGCCTGACTTGTCTTTGCGCCATTAACCTGGTTGGTCATCTCAGGTAATTTGACTCCTTTGTCCACGGTGTTAACAGCTCACCTCAGTCACAAGGCATCTGGGGCCACTGGATCCCAGACAGGAACTGCGCACAGAGGAGAAAGAATAGGGGCAGGAGGGTGGTTTGCGTGGCTGTGAGCTGTCTTGGCTGGCAGCCTGCTCTCCGTGTGGTAAAACACAGCTATTTGCAGCAATGGCATGGGATATTACAGAGTTCTCTCTGTCCTGAACAAATAAGTTAAAATCTCTCTGCCTTATTTTTTTCCCCGTGGGAGGTAGATAGCTGAACCCCCTAGTGGAGCCAACAGAATAAAGAGGAAAAGATATAACAGCTGTTTCTGCCTGTGAAAGTCGTTTTTATTTACTCTAGACATAGAACAGAAATCACTGCAGAAACATATTGAGGCATTAGTGCATGTTGGTGGGGGTAGGGGAAAGAATTAATTACTTTGTCTCAGGCTGTCCTAAAGCATCACACTCACATACAAAGACTTTTTTTGTTCTTGTTGCTCAGTTGTGCCCAGCTCTTTGCGACCCCATGGACTGCAGCACGCCAGGCTTCCCTGTCCTTCACTATCTCCTGGAGCTTGCTCAAACTCCCATCCATTGAGTTGGTGATGCCATCCAACCAGCTCACCCTCTGTCGCCTCCTCTTCCTCCTGCCTTCAGTCTTTCCCAGCATCTGGGTCTTTTCCAGTGAGTCAGTTCTTCATGTCAAGTGGCCAGTGGATTAGAGCTTCAGCTTCAGCATCAGCCCTTCCGACGAATATTCAGGGTTGATTTCCTTTAGGATGGACTGGTTTGATCTTCTTGTTGTCCAAGGGACTCTCAGGAGTCTTCTCCAATACCACAGTTCAAAAGTATCAAAGACTTTAACTTCAGTCATTTGTATTTTAACATTTTCATAACATAATGTAACCAGGAAAAGTAATTTTAGACTTTACATTGAAGAAGCTTATTATTAAGAAGAAGTTAAAAGCTATCAGCCTTATGTTGTTAAAATTGCTGTAGAAGCCAATATGTTGCTTGATTTTGTTTGAAGTCTAGTGGCCTAGAGCAGAAAGTGGAGCTGGTCAAGCCTGCAGGATTTCACACTAAGCCTTGACTGTGAGGTTGTCAATGAAGGAAAGTTACAGGGCTCAAAATAGCCTGGAGTTAAAACTCCCCTCCGGTCCTCCCCACCATTCTATGCAAAACAAAAAACTCTCTCACAGAAGGGGGTGAAAATGGACATTAAAGTTGATTATGCCCAGTTCCCAGCTGGTCCAGCCTCTGGCCGATCTCCAGAATTCCTTGCCCCAGCCCTTTAAGAGATAACTACTCTGAAGAACCTTGGAGAAGAATAGGCCCCCTTAAGACAGTAGATCTCCACGTATATGCCTACATACACTCACTCTTTTCTTGGGTTAGGGCAGCAGCTCACTAATCTGACTGCTGCCCCTTCTCGCCTCATTAAAGGTGACCTGCTCCTGTAAAGTGCAGGTCTCCTTCTTCTGAACCTCGCCTTCTCTAACTCCCTTACCCTACAAACTTACAAACATCTCACAAACTTCCCAAAACCAGGAGGAGTTCACCATCTCTGCAGTCTGTTTCATTTATAAATGTTTAGTCGCTCAGTCGTGTCGGACTCTTTGTGGCCCCCTGGACTGCAGCCCACCGGGCTCCTCTGTCCCCATGGGATTCCCCGGCTGCGCACCCTGGAGTGGGTTGCACCATCCTGCCCTCCAGGGTTGTAACTGTAGAGCTGAGTGTAAACTACGTGTGATGTGCGCCCCTCTGCAGTGGTGAACTGCTCCGACCCAGGCTTGGTGGAAAACGACATCTGTCAGTCACGAGCACCAGAGCCTCCCCGAGGGTTTTGAGTATGGAGTGTCGTGTATCAGTATCAGTGCAAGAGGGGCTCCTACCTGCTGGGATCTTCTGCCCTCAGCTGCACGGCGAACGGCCTGTGGGATTGCTCTCTGCCCAAGCGTCTGGGTGAGTGGGGTCGTCTGGGCTCTCATGCCACAGAGCCCTGAACACCACCAATACAACATGTGTTTTGTTAAGTATTCAAAAAGGTACTGATTTTTTTACCTGACCCCATCACAAATTGTACTAGTTTTTATGATATCTTTAAGAGGGCAAGGAACCCAGTCAGCTCCGCCTGGACCCTACTGTCCCTGTGTCCACTCCTCAGCGCTCGTTTCCTGCTTCAGCCCGGCAGGTGGGCAGATCCACCGGTTCACCCAGGTGCCAGCAGCCTCCAGACTGTGCCTCTCGCAACATGCTGCCTCCCTGGGGACCCAGGTTCAGAGATACTGCAAACGACTATAATGTGGAATCTCCATCTACCGACCCAGTTATCTGTGGCCGGAAGCGTGGAGCACTCTGGGGGCCTCATTTGTCTCATCAGCTCTTCCGGGACAGTCCAGTGTGAGCCTGATAAAGACGACACATCCTGGTTGGCACCTCCTCCTGACCCTTAGGTTTAACCAAGAGGAAGAGTGGGGTGCTGCTCTGGGCAGACAGAATTACAGGTCACGGCTCTGGCTTCCCAGAAAACCTTATTAACAGTATGCAGATGAGCAGGGGCGTTTTCTTTTTCACCCACTAGCTACATTATTACTTTCTTTCCCTTGAAATAGCATATTGTCCTTGAGTTCAAAGAGAATCGTCTTGTGTCTTTTTAAAACTGTCTGAAAATGAAGGAAAGTGAGTCACTCTCCTTGGTCCTTTAAAAATCAATCAGAAACAAAACCATTCTTAAAATCAATATCTTATGTTTTTAGTATCCATTTTGTGTGCATAGAGAAAATGGGAAATGACAATTACATTATGAATTGAAATACTGAAAAACTGTAATGGTCCATTTTATCACTCGTGATTACAGTGTTTTCAGTACATTTTCAGAGTGGACCGGTGCCGGCGACTTTTCCTGAAAGTCAAGGTCCCTCAAAGCCCTTTGAATATGCCTGGAAACCTGTGTCAAATTCTAAGTGTAACAATACAGTTAATTCCTATGGAGAAAGAGAGTGATGCCTTTCAAAAACAAATGTATAGGCTTATATGATCAATAAAAAATAAATCTATAAATGTTACAGTTCTCAGCATATGTTATGTGTTCTGGTTTTCCATGCCTTCACACATGGGAATTTTTCAGAGAAATTAGTTTTATTTTCTCCCCAAAGATTTGCTGAGCCTCTTCCCTGGCGTTCCCGAGACTTCCATTACTGGTTGTGATGATGCCCCTGCGCCCCAGGCCTCCAGGAACCTGCTTTTCACTGATCTCGTTTTCACAGCTGGCGAGTTCCCACCTCTGCTGTCCTGAACCGCTGGAGCTACCGCAGCTTGGGAACAGTGCTCTGAGAGGAGCGTTTTGTTTTCACAGGCTCTGCAGTGGCTAAGCTAGCTTCCATCTCCATTTGTCCTGTTCACTGCTTCTTTTATTTACCTGGAACTGATCATCCACCAAGCACGTCACTGATTCAGCGCTAGTTAGCTTCTTTTTAGGACTCCAGTAAACTCCTGTTCTCTGATGAATGGTTGTCAGGATGAGAGGGTGTCAGGGGAGGGCGAGTGTGACTCGGGGGGCACTGGGGCCTTTCTGAAACCTGCCTCTCTGGTTGGTGTCGCTCTGCGGTTGCTGATGACCAAATGCAATCTCTCTTGGATGTTAAATCAGCTCCCTTTGGATCATTTCTGGCACCCTCAGTCCAGTTAGTTGTTTGAACATGGTATAATTTTTTTTTTTAATGGTTGACCATAAAAATTTTGGACTTTACAAAAAGAGAGATAGAATCTTTACCATTCTGTGGTAATCTGGATTCTAGAATTTTCTTTTTTGAGGAATAATGATCAGATGATGGGCCTCATTTGGTATAAAGAAATAAGTGGAACACTTGAGGAAAAAATAAATCAGTAATTTATCATTACTTTTTAACTTAAACATTTTAATAGAGGATATATGTATATGTATAGTTGATTCACTTTTTTTGCACAGCAGAAACTTAACATAATATTATAAAGCACCTAGATCCAATTTTAAAATACTAAAAAAAAGACATTTTTAGATTGCCACTTATTCAAGGAAAAATTGTTAGAATGGTCTCTCTAGTCAGGTGATCTGGAAGAGGGAGCAGATTTTACTTGAGTTTTGTCTCCATGCAAAGCATACTAACTGAAGAAATAATGGTGGTAGCTTTGGGGATCTGTGTTAGTCTGTATCATTTTGTATGTACCTTACTTACTTAGGATACAGTTAAGGAAGATGGAAAAATTTAGGTAGATGACTTTCTTTTTGAAAATCTCAATGTCAATTTCTACCTTCAGCACAGCTACCTTAATAAAAAAAAAACAAACAAATAAAAACAAAGTTTCACTGACAGACCCTTCCTGGTCTTCAGTAATGTGTGAGGGAGGGTTGTCTGGAAGTTGACGCTTCTCATCCACAGGGTACCAGGGATGTGTTTTTGTTAATAGGGGGTGATTGTATGAGTCTCTGAAATACAGTGACCAACACAGAGCAACTTAACAGGAACAGTGTACTTACTGATTATTTTCTTTTTTTTCAAGTGATATCATGTGGACACCCCAGCGTCCCTGCCAACACCATACTCATAGGAGACCTGTTCACGTATGGGGCCGTGGTCCACTACTCGTGCCGAGGGAGCCGCAGTCTCGTGGGCAACAGCAGCAGAACCTGCCAGGAGGACAGTCACTGGAGCGGAGCCCTGCCCCACTGCACAGGTGAGCTGGCGCAGGCAGGTCATCCGTCATGCGAAACACGGAGTGGGGGCTCCCGTCTCTAAAGTGGTTACTAACCCACTCCAGCCACACACGCCCCTAGATACACCACCGGCATCTTGGGCTTCTTCTTCTCTTTAAATGCCTATCCCAGCAAGGTTTCTCCATCATCAACAATCACATTGGTCCTGTTTGGAAAAGAAATCATCTTAATTCTTCCAGGAATGTTTCATAATAAAACTCAGTGGATCACACCTCTTACTTGATTTTTTTATTCCCAACACACCTTCCCCCATCTCCCTGTGGGCATCCTCACCAGCATTTCCAGTGAGCAATTCCTGTACTCATGGCCCCAGTGTTTTGTTTCTTCCAAAGAATATCAATTATTGTCACTACCATATTTTAATAAACTATTTTGATTTTAGTTATATGGAAACAATTTCTTAGAGTCTTCTACTTTTGTGCTGTAATAAAGAAAATCTGTCTCATAGGATTTCCAGAATGTTCTATGACTGTGATCATGTTTGATATACATTTACATAAAATTTATTCTCTTTAAACATAACAGCCCTGTTTTAAACAGCATCATCTATGTGTTTGTGTTCCACAGGAAATAACCCTGGATTTTGCAGTGATCCAAGGACCCCAGCCCATGGGTCCCGGCTTGGAGAGGAGTTTAAGGCCAAGAGCCTCCTCCGCTTCTCCTGTGAAATGGGCTACCAGCTGCGGGGCTTGGCCGAGTGGACGTGTCTGCTCAACAGGTCCTGGTCAGGACTGCAGCCCGTATGCGAGGGTGAGTGGGTCCCAGCCTGAGAGTTGGCGCTGCAGGTGGAAACAGGGTAGCTCTCTCTGAAATGACCAGAGACGTTCTGCAAAATCCTTCAGCTTTACACTGTTTCTACAGTTAATTAATCTATCCCCACCCCCAAGCATATTAGAGAATCATCAGGAAGCATGATTGGGCAAATGGAGGCACTCTGACTGATCAAAAGAAGGTAGAACACCGGCCTTGCCCTCTGACAGTCCCCTGTCTGGGGGAGGTGTCTGTCTGTCTGCTCCTGGTGACATCTCCGAGTGGCTCTGCAGTGTGTCCTGGTGTAGGGAGGCATCTGTCCTCGCCTGGTGACCGTCTCTGTGTGGCTGTCAGTATGTTATGGCTGGTGGGGCTGAGAACGCAGGTGAAGGGGCTGTGAGCGGGGCAGGTCCTGATGGGGGCTCCCTGCTGCTGGAAGACGTTTCATTAACATGTTACTTCCAGTCTGTCAGTGCCCTGGTCTTAATTTCTTGCACTTTTTAAAAAAATTAACTAACTTATTTGACTGTATGGGGTCTTAGTTCCGTCATGTGGGATCTACTGCCCTGTCCAGGGATCAAAGGTCCCTTGCTTTGGGATCACAGAGTCTTAGCCATTGGACCACAAGGGAAGTCCCTCTTGCAAATTTAAACAGTGAAAAAACTAAAGCAGTTGAGAGTAAGTCAAGTTTTCTGTAAAAATCTCACTTGGTTGCTGGGGTACCACAGTATGAGTTATTTCCCAACAAAACATAAATGAATTCATTTATTTGATTAGGAGAACTTAATTGGATTTCACTTCATGATGTACTTATCCCAGACTATGCAAAGTGCTTTTTAAATAGCATTTAGTTTATCAAAATGGTGTTATCACTGACTCAATGCACATGAGTTTGTGCAAACTTCAGGACATGGTGAAGGACAAGGAAGTCTGGCATGCTACAGTTTGTGGAGTTGCAAGGAGTCGGACATGACTTAGCAACAAATTCAGAAATTCAGAGGGTTCCTATAAAATCCTCTTAAACTTTTCCTTCAAAATCTGTGTACAAAAAGAAGTTACTAAAATGTTTCAATGCTGAAAATATTTCTCAAATATTCAATGTTCCACAAAATTGGTTATTTCCAATTGCACTGTACCAGGAAGAGGGTATGGCAACCCACTCTAGTATCCTTGCCTGGAGAAACCCCACGGACAGAGGAGCCTGACGGGCTACAGTCCATGGGGTCACAAAGAGTCGGACACTACTGAGCGACTAAGCACAACTGCATTGTACAGAAATCATGGAAAGCTGTGTGAGTGATAGTTCAGTTACACTCAGGGAAACCACAAATGATGTCTAGGAATATATGACTAATCCCTTCCCACTCCTGCACACACACTTACAACTCTTAAAGTTGTAGAAAATCTATCACTTTCTGTTTTTTCTTACTTGCTATCATAGGTCCGTATCTTTGGGGCACACATTATTTTCTGTAGAAAGTGGGGTTATCAGCAACTTTTCATTGCCACAAAGGTTAGCCATGACCTATGTACTCAATCCCCTGACCAAGGTCATGCCCCTCCTAATGAATTTACCTTCTCTGAATCTATTAAAAAAAAAATTAGATCCTGATGGGATACTTCAATAAATTTTAAAAATGGGTTCATGAATTACAAAAGAAAAATATTCGAAAAATTCTTAAGCATCAAAAACCTTAAACTTCTGATAACTATTTTCATCACTTTAAATCATGTTTTCTTTTGTTAAGATCTAGTCTTTGAATCACAGGCTCACTGACTTAGCTTTTCAAATGCATATATCTTACCAAGTTGTGTAAACATAACTACATCTTTGGGGTAACTCCTAATCCTCTTTCCCAGGAGATTATGATAAAGTTGACCTTTATTCATGTAATGGACATGTGATTAAAGTGATGATAATGAAAAGAAGAAAAATACTAATAGGACTATGTCTATACAAGATGGTGGCATTTTGCACTTAGTATGGCTTTCCAGGTGGCTCAGTGGTAAAGAACCCAATGCAGGAGACGTGGTTTCAATCCCTACATTGGGAAGATCTCCTGGAGAAGGAAACGGCAATCCACTCCAGTATTTTTGCCTGAAGAATCCCCATGGACAGAGGAGCCTGGCGGGCTACAGTCCATGAGGTAACAAAGAGTCAGACGAGACAAAGTATGCATGCACATGTGTAATCTTACAACAGGGAGCAATTATCTTTTTTATACATTTTATAGTGAAGACACTACATGTTGAGAACTCGAATTGATCACTCACATTGATTTTAACTTGTATGAGCAGAGATTCAAACCTACTACTAACTCAGTTTAACAGCAATCATCCTAATATAGCATGATAAGTGAACAATATTGATGCCAGTAAACAATAATGCATATTTGGAATAAGTATGATGCTACCTTTCTGAACTGATGATGCTATCTTATTCAGTTCAGTTGTTCAGTCGTGTCTGACTCTTTGCGACCCCATGAACTGCAGCATGCCAGGCCTCCCTGTCCATCACCAACTCCCGGAGTCCACCCAAACCCATGTCCGTTGAGCCGGTGATGCCATCCAACCATCTCATCCTCTGTCATCCCCTTCTCCTCCTGCCCTCAATCTTTCCCAGCATCAGGGTCTTTTCAAATGAGTCAGCTCTTCACATCAGGTGGCCAAAGTATTGGAGTTTCAGCTTCAGCATCAATCAGTCCTTCCAATGAACACCCAGGACTGATCTCCCCTAGGATGGACTGGTTGGATCTCCTTGCAGTCCAAGGGACTCTCAAGAGTCTTCTCCAACACCACAGTTCAAAAGCATCAATTCTGCGTTCAGCTCTCTTTATAGTACAACTCTCACATGCATACATGACCACTGGAAAAACCATAGCCTTGACTACATGGACCTTTGTTGGCAAAGTAATGTCTCTGCTTTTCAATATGCTGTCTAGGTTGGTCATAACCCCCCTTACAAGGAATAAGTGTCTTTTAATTTCATGGCTGCAATCACCATTTCAATGATTTTGGAGCCCAGAAAAATAAAGTCAGCCACTGTTTCCACTGTTTCCTCATCTATTTGCCATGAAGTGATGGGACCTGATGCCATGATCTTAATTTTCTGAATGTTGAGATTTAAGCCAACTTTTTCACTCTCCTCTTTCACTCTTATCAAGATGCTCTTTGGTTCTTCTTCACTTTCTGCCATATTAAAAATTGAGTAAAAGACAATGATCTTTTATGAAAAGGAGGCACATTAACTAAATGTACTTTTTAAAAAGATGTATTTAAAAAGAAATTTTAACTTGTAATTTTCAAAATATCTTGTTTTCTATCATCCTTAAAATGTAATCTGTCATTTTGCTTAAGTGTCAGTCTTTGTATGCCTTGAAACCTCAGGACCTTGGTATAAAAACAGATATGCGGACCCTGATTCTAATTTACACTTTTATAGGCATGATCATCAGTGAAAGAATCCCTGTCAGGAAAAACAAAAGTTAACCATGAATTTGACTATATCAAATACAATATTAGAGGGGACTTTATAAACATCAGGGTGTCATCATTATGATGGACATTCCTTTACTGACAATATATCTGTCTGTAAATTGAGTGTGAATTCCACAGTCACCTGCTTTATTTCGGCATGAGTCTCTCACAGGTCACTTTTGGAAACTGCTCATAGGTTTTAATAGCAGATGTGGCGGAAATGATATGCAGTGGCAGGCGCCTCTTGTTGTGGGTTGGATCCATGCAGTTCTTTGCCATGTCAGGTCTGCACCCACGCCTGTGAGCAGTAACTGTGCAGAGGAAGCAGTGGGTCAGTGTTTGTGGGGTGGAGGAATGTTCTTGAATGGGCTTGGATTTTTGCTAAGTGAAACTTTAACCTATGTCACAGCCGTCAAAGGACTCTGAGCTTTACAGGATGTTAGGTATCCTCTGCCTCAGGACTGGTAAATATATCTCATCTCAGATGTCAACCAAGAAACCACTGAACGATCTGTGTTAGAAGGGATTGTAAATCCAAACCCAGACTCATCAGGGGAGAAGGTTGTAACTGATTAGTTATAGCTGAGGTAGAAAAGTGAAAGTGTTAATTGCTCAGTTGTGTCTGACTCTTTGCAACCCCAGGAACTGTGTAGCCTGCTAGGTTCCTCTGTCCATGGGATTCTTCAGGCAAGAATACTGGAGTGGACTGCCATTTCCTCCTCCAGAGAATTTTCCCAACCCAGGGATCTAAACTAGGTCTCCTGCATTACAAGCGCGTTCTTTACTATAGCTATACTATAGCTAGCTATGCTATGTCTGAAGCATAGGCACAGGCGTAAGCAACAACAAGTATACTTTTTGTCAAACAAGATCTAGTCCAGGTTCGATGCATGATACAGGATGCTAGGGGCTGGTGCATTGGGATGACCCAGAGGGATCGGATGGGGAGGGAGTACGGAGGGGGTTCAGGATGGGGAACACATATACACCCATGGCGGATTCAAGTCAATGTATGGCAAAACCAATACAATGTTGTAAAGTAAAATAAATAAATAATTGAAATTAAAAAATTAAAAAAAATCTAGTCCAATCTGAGAGTATGTGCATTTTTTAACATAATATGATAAGGAATTCATAAATTTCTATTATAGTGGCTTTTATTTTGCAATCTGTTTTCTTCCATGTTTTTAAGAAGAGTGTGTATTTGTTTACAGGCTAAGTTTGAAAGTGGAACAACTAAATAGGCCAGAGTATTTCAAATATTTTGATCATTCTCACAAAAGGGACTCATGATACATTGTTGGCATTAGAATTCACATTCTTTGTATGTCTATTGTGCATTACTATTGTGGGAGGATTAAGCAGGAAAAATAACCATCTTTATGGTAAATAGGTTCAATGAAAAAAGGCAAAAAACCCGTAAAGGATTGAGATCATCACACTGATACACACCTAGAAGCTGCTGAGTTTCCCTGTTTGCTGAGGAAAGAACGTACCTGACAGATACTCAGAGGGCAGGCCTGCTACCCTGCCCGTCCTAGCTGAAGTCTCCATGCCTGTACATGATGACACTGTGGTCATTTGGAGAGATTTAAGGTGCGGCCATTCCAAAGCCGGTCAGGGACTAGAGTTTTTATGGGCTTCCCAAGTGGCACTAGTGTTAAAGCACTGCCTGCCAATGCAGGACACAAAAGAGACTCAGCTTTGATCCTTGGGTGGAGAAGATCCCCTGGAGCAGGGAATGGCAACGCAGTATTTTTGCCTGGAAAGTCCCTTGGACAGAGACAGCTTGGCAGGCTACATTCCATGGGCTCGCAAAGAGTCAGACACGACTGAGCACAAATACAGAACTTTTATAGACAGGAGGAGGGCGCTACATGCAGAAACAGCACAGACAGCTCTGACGGTCATCTTCAAGTTGGTGGTCGGTGGTCGGTGGTTTGACCAGCATCATCTGGCTCTTTGAGTGCAGTCAGGCTTCAGTTCCAGGACTGGTTTGCCCCCATTTCCTCGAGGCCAGTCCTGAGACTTGTGGCAGCCTGTCACGGCTGCAGTCCGCTCATCGTGGAGTTAACTTCTCCACCTGGCAGGGGTCTCTGTTTCTGCACAAGAGCTCACAGAACATGGCTCACAATTTTATCTTCAGCCCTGGAGGAGGAACTGTTAAAGGCCCTTGACTTATGACTAAACTATTTTTATTTTGTCTTGTTGGACTGCTTTCTTTGGTTCTGCATTTTCTCACTTCTCTGATTAAATTCATTGTTTGGCTACAGTTTTTCTACAGATGAAAGGCAGGCAGAGGATGTTGGGGTGGGGCAGGACCACAGTGTCCTTCCCATGATTTCTTAAATAAATGCGCGGTCCGTTACACAGACGGCCCTCGACCTCTCGAGTTTATCGCGTGGTGATGGGTCTCCCGCTGTTGTTCTGTCCCTCCCCCACAGCTGTGTCCTGTGGGAACCCGGGGATGCCCGCCCACGGCATGATCGTCAGCAACGATGGCATGCTGTTCTCCAGCTCTGTGGTCTACGCGTGCTGGGACGGCTACAGGACCTCAGGGCTGACCACGCGCCACTGCACCGCCAACGGGACCTGGACCGGCACGGCCCCCGACTGCACGCGTGAGTGGCCGCCGGCCTGGCCAGATCCAGGTCCCCACAGCGACTCACACTGGACTGGGAGAAAGGAGCTGATTTTACAGAGGCTGTATTGTTTAATCCCTAGGGAAAAAAGGATTATATCACATGTATGTTTGCTAATAGGACCACTTTCTAAACACTTCTAGATTTTTCTTCACTTTCTTATTTATATGGTTAAAAATGCTTTGCCTGACTGGTTGGGTTGGATATTATAAAACTGAGTTCAGAAAAGGCAAAGTTCATTCTCTCTGTAGACCAGTTAGTCTGAAGGGAAATGATGCAGGAGCCTGGTTCTCTCTGATCTCAGCCTGTGTCTCTGTCCTTGACTTTGTGGGGTGACCCCTCACGACATCTAGTTAAGGACAGAACGCAGATGACAGCTGTCATCCACACAGCCGACCACCAGTGGAGTAGAAATAAGCTGTTCCAAACATGCAGCCTCCTGACGGCCGGCCAGCGAAACTGCCCCCCAGAGAGAGGCTGGCATCGCTGTGCTCAGCCACGGCGTCATCGCTCTGAAGAGCAGCTTAAGGAGAGTCCCTTAAACAGAAACCAGGAGTCATTCATCCCGTGATGATGCTATATCTCTCTGTGTCTGTTCTCTGCTGGTTAGTCATCAGCTGTGGAGACCCAGGGACCCTGGCTAACGGCATCCAATTCGGGACCGATTTCACCTTCAACAAGACGGTCAGCTACCAGTGTAACCCCGGCTACACCATGGAGCCCGCCACGTCCCCCACCATCCGCTGCACCAAGGACAGTACCTGGAATCACAGCAAACTGACCTGCAAAGGCGAGTGTTGGGGCTTCTCTTGTGCGTCACTCACACGTGGAGACTCTTTATTGAGTTAACGTTTTACATCAGTTTGCAAGCATCCGTGTAGACCTTCTATGTGCTCAGCATTCCTGTAAACTCATTCGCAAATATTAAATCACTTCCTTTTCTTACTACCTTAATCTTGGTTTTACAGCCCGGAGACTGACTCACAGAGAGTTGTGATAAATTTTAAGGTCTCAGGTCAGGTCTTGGAGACATCGGGTTTCAGGGACGACTCTGGAATCGGTGCTGTGGACCCAGTTCTGTCTCCGTGTGCGTGGCTGTGTTGACTCTGTGGCCGTCATCACGGGGCTGGAGAGGTGGGTCAGAGCCGATCATCAGATAGGGCAGAACAGTGGCAGAGACCGCCAGTGTCCTGATGCCTGGTGGGGCTCGGGCGCTGAGACTAAGGAAGCCACATCACGAGGGGGGGGTACAGGAAGGTTCCCCACTTGGCCGGTGGACTTTCCAGGGAGAGAGTGAGCAGGCAGAAGGCATCTAGGGGAGCAGAGGGGCTGGCGGACCACTGATCCAGGGCTGATCTGCAGGGTGAGCGTCTCCACCAGCTCCAGATCGAGCTGCAGGCCTTCTCAGCTGGGCAGGAGGGGCAGGGGCAGGAGAGGGCGTGGAGGCTGGCAGTGACCACACAGGAGAAAGGGGCGCCTTATCGTCGTTAGATGAGGGAGGGGGAAGAGCTGGGAGCTGGAGTAGCAGGAACCCTCAGGAGGAAGGTGCGTCCTGTGTGGACAGTCTTGTGAGGTCAGAGGACCCCCCACCCCGAGGGCCCTGTTACGCCCTTCCGGCCCGGGCGGTTTGGGCGCATCCTGGTTTCCTCCCATCAGAGGGTGAGGAGCCCTGTCTCGTGTCCGTCTTCCCAGCTGCAGTTATTAGCACCGTGCAGCTCTGTGGCAGGTGCTAAGAGGGTGTTAAATGCAGCTCACACAGTCCTGTCGGGAGCATTCGAGTCCAGTGAGCGTGTCCACGTGCTTATCCCTAGAATGTCTGATCTCTGGACTTCAGATACATTTGTGTAGATCTTGTCCCTCTGTTTAGTGTCTGTTGGATTAACAGCCCTTCCACAGACAACCCGGCCCTCACGGATGAGACCTGTCTCTTCTCCTGCTGGCCACCCTGCTCACTCCTCCCTGGAGCCACGTCACTCATCACCGTTCCCACCTGGAGGCCTTGGAACCCGACATCGACCTGTCTAGACTGTTCCCCCAGTCTTCATTAGGGGTTCTGCAGAAATCTTTGTTGAATGAGTGCACAGATGGAGGGAAGGTGGATGGCAAGAGGAGGGCCCGTGTCCAGCTTATGGGCGTGCACGCACGGTTGGGTCTGTGTCTTTCTCACGTGAGAAGGTGTGAGCACCCGTGAGAAAGTGCAGGGGAGGAAATACGGCTGAGTCTCCTCTCCCGCCACCTTCCGTGCCCACACTGTCAGCGGCAAACCTTCTCCAGTGTGAAGTCTTGGAGCTCTTGGGTCATCAGGGAGCTCTTAGACCAGGCGTCGCAGAACAATGGCTGGAGTGGGCCAGGCAGATGCCAGCACCAGTGGCGCTCACTCCTGGGAAGACGGTTCTCCCTCGAAGCCCCTGGATGAGACAGAGCCTGGCAAAGCGGTTTCTTACAGGGTCTTCTCTAACCACGCAAGTGTTAGTGCTCAGTTCTGCAGCAAGTGCATCAGCAGCCTATGTATGTCTTTTGGAAACTATATGCTATCTTTACATAAAGAAAAAAGTACAGATAGAGAAATTCTTACCATCTGTGTATATAAACTCAAACGTTTGTATTCATGTCATAGGACCACATTATGACTGGATTTGCCTCTGGTAAGGGCATGGCAACCCACTCCAGTATTCTTGCCTGGAGAATCCCCATGGACAGAGGAGCCTGGGGGGCTACAGTCCATGGGGTCACAATGAGTCAGACACACATAAAAAGACATCAGTGAAATAGCATTCTTTCTTACTTGGTCTTATACATACTGAGACTGTTGTTTACTCCACTTTCATGGTGTGACATGTTTTGACTTTGCTTTTGTAGACTTGATCTAAATTAATGAGGAAATATTGGAGAAAAGTTTTATTATTTTGATTTGCTGTCTTCCTCAGTAATTTCACTATTAAAAATTTGGCCCCTTGTAGGTGTCATTTGCAATGCAGATAAAATGAAAATGTGAGGCCTTGGAGAGCTGTGTTGTGGTGCAAACTCCAGAATGTTGAATCCTGTTTGCTCTCTGACAGCCATCACATGCGGCCAGCCTCCTCCGGTCCAGGATGGGAAGGTGGAAGGAACGGACTTCTGCTGGGGTGCCAACATCAGCTACAGCTGCGTCCATGGCTTCCAGCTCTCCCAGCCCGCCATCCTCTCCTGCGAAGGCCAAGGGGTCTGGAGAGGTGAGGTCCCCCAGTGCCTGCGTAAGTCCTCAGGAGCACAAACCACAGCACACAAACCTCAGGCTGCAGTCTGAGCAGGAGAGCCTGCGGGACTTGTAGCCGGGGTGCAAAAGGTTAAAGACTCCACGTTTGACACATGCTGCCCAAGGGCAGATTCTGTCCTTTTCTTCATCATTGATTCCTAAGGATTTAATGAGTGTATATGCTTTGTGACCCATTGGACTATACCCCTCTAAGATCCTCTGTCCATGGGCTTCTCCAGGCAAGAAGACCGGAGTGGGTTGCCATTTCCTTCTCCAGGGGATCTTCCCTACCCAGGGATCGAACGTGCATCTCCTGCATATCAGGCTGATTCTTTGCCCACTGGGCCTCCCAGGGTTAATGGGAGGACTTAATGGAAAGCAGTTAGACAAGCTGAATAGACGAACCTCACCCAGGGGCACAGGCTGTGCACTGACCTCCTGGTTGTCTTCTCTAGCTGTGTTCTGTGGGGACCCTGGCACCCCTGCTGAGGGGCGCCTCAGCGGCAAGAGCTTCACCTACGGATCTGAAGTCTTCTTCCAGTGCAAGTCCCCCTTCCTCCTGGTGGGGTCGTCCCGGAGAGTCTGCCAGGCAGACGGCACCTGGAGTGGCGTCCAGCCCACCTGCATTGGTAATGATGGCAAGACAGCCCTGGGGGTGGGGAGGGGGCGTTTCATTCTAAAGCTGGAGCATTTGTGGGCACACAGGTGATGCTCTCCTGGGAGATGTTCTGTGCAGGAGCTGAGCAGCCATGCTGATGGCAGCCCCTTTAAATCCTGCACGGAGTTTGGAGTTGACATGACAAGTCATTTAAAAACAGTTCCTAGACTCTCTTACCCTGGCAGCCCCCTCTCTGCCCAGGTCAGCTGACAACCGCGATCTTCAGGGGAAGGACCAGTTTGCTGAAGATCCCATTGTTGCCGTGGCACCAGAAGGGCCCCCACTTCAGTGCCTGACACCCTCTCCCCCAGCCCACCCCCGCCCCCAGTAAACCACCTGCTCTATCAGCCACGGCTGAAAGGGCTACAGGGTCACACCTGCTCTGTTGACCTTCCAACATGAAGTGAAACTTACAAGTTAAAAGAGATTCTCTACGTGACCTAAACCCCTCCTTTTTAGACTAAATCTCTGTCTCATAGGAAGGGTTCAGGTAGAAATTATGCTGGTCGACAGTCACTGCGTCAGTGACACAGGAACCAGAACCCTCCCTGCTTCACTCCCAGCCTCCCTCCACCTCGCCCTGCAGACTGAGCGAGTGATGGCCGGCCGCTGCGTGCCCTGCTTCCCCGAGCGTGAGAGGGCCTTCTGCACACACGCAGCAAGCAGGGAATGACTTCTATCCCGGGTTGGTTTCTGAGAAAGTAAATATCTACTTAAAAATACGGTGTCAACAATGATTTCTTTGGAACACAGCTTTTTATAATTAAAGTTTACTGCCATTGGGCTAAAACTATTGCTTTACTTTAGCTATTTCTGAAAAACTAAAAAAAAAAAAAATGTTTTCTTCTCTTCCCAATAGGTTAGTTCCTCTTGAAAGCATACTTTTGTGAAGTTATCCATTTTGTTTTCCCATCAGCAGCTGGAGAGCTACCATACTGAAGCCACTCATTGATTGCTGAAGTAGTACAATTTTGTAGAAAAATATCACTGTTGGTCTACCATATGCTTTTATTTTGAAGCATTAAGTATATTCCCGATTTTGAAATCTTGAGGAAAATTAATTTAAGACATTTAGAATAATAGATGGCCAAATGAAATGTTAATTAATTAAATCAATAAAAAACAAAAGGTCATAATAGGTAATTATTGAAGATTATATATCATTAGCCAACCAACAGAGTATGTCAGTAGAGAAAAATTAAACCAAAGCACAAAAGAATGTGCTTCTTTTGACATAGAAAATAATATTCAGAGCAATTTAGAGTCTGATAAAGCACTAAAGATTAACATCTAAAGAAGTCAGAAAAAAGATGAAAATAGCAATTTAATTTTTAACTCTCTTGCAAATCATCTTGCCACTTGTCAAAACACAATTTTCTGAATTCTGAAAGGCCTTTTATTTATTTTTTTTTTAATTTTTTTTTTTAAAGGCCTTTTAGTAAAAATATTAGAATTTCTGTAATAACCATATCTGGTTCTGATTTTTTTTTTTTTAATTGTGAGTTTCAGATCCTGCTCATAACACCTGCCCAGACCCTGGTACTCCATAGTTTGGAATACAGAAGAGTTCAGGAGGATATGAAGTATTCCATTTTTATTTTACTACGTTTTTCTCTATGTCAAAGTGTAATTGATACTTAAATATACACGTGTTTATGTAGCATATCTGACTCATCTTACATTTGCCCAAATATAGTCCATTCAAAAAGAGGATTTCTGTTTATTATGTTCACTGTTAGAACTGAGACAACTGTATCTGATTCACATAGGATTAATTGCTATATAAATTTCTATTTGAAAGCATATATATTTCTTTCTGTCTGCTGAATTGACACAGCAAATCTCAAATGAGGGTGATTTGCCACTGATTCACATAAGAGGACTCCACTTGCTGACCAGATTGAATAGGTGAATAACATTAAATCCCAGAGACAAAAACAGAAGAAGAAAATGCCTTCAAAGTATATTAACACTTATGTTAACACAAATATCAGAGAAACACCTAAAAATGGAAAGTAAAGAAGCTTGAAATAAAATGTTTCAACCATCTTAAGTAATTGAATGACTTCAGGTTCTCTGATCAGATAGCTTTGAAAGCCAGAGATAAACATACACACTACTTTCAAGTTACCATTTCCACTCATTGAGAATAAAAGTCCCTTTTCTTCAGCCACTTCTCCTCCTTTTTCCTGAAGTGCAAACTGTCCTCATTTGATTGCCCTGATGCCACACTGGCTCCTTCCTGACAGCCTTGCTTCACTCTGCAAGGACAGCCTCACAGGTCCTCGGGTTAAATCTAGTGCACTTTATGTAGGGTCTCGTGTGTGGCCTTACAGCTTCAGGTCATGTTTTCTGGCATATGCTGAACATATTGCAACACCAGAAAATACAAGATGTGGGCGTTCTCACTAACTCACCATGAGAAACCCAAGTTGTGGTCACCCCTGGTTTCAGTGATCCCTAACTTGCCTGCATGTGGCCTGTAGGAAGTGAACCTTCATGACGATTGCTTTCAGTGATGCAGTCCTGCAATCTGCTGTGAGAAGCTAACCGGGAGGGGTGGCCCACCATTCCCCTTATGACAGAGTAGTTACACTACCCCAGATAACAGGCTGGACCCAAGGTAAGATTTACTAATCATTTAAAAACCCAGATGCCATCTTTTAAAGAGATGACTGAGACCATCAGAAGAATAGTTCTGGAGGATTCTATGATGGAGTCCTTATCAGTCTCCAAGCCAGTTCCTGCAAATGCTAAAGTAACATGCTGCTGCTGCTAAGTCACTTCAGTTGTGTCCGACTCTGTGCGACCCCATAGAAGTCAGGCCACCAGGCTCCACCGTCCCTGGGATTCTTCAGACAAGAACACTGGAGTGGGTTGCCATTTCCTTCTCCAATGCATGAAAGTGAAAAGTGAAACTGAAGTCGCTCAGTCGTGTCTGATTCAGCGACCCCATGGACCGCAGCCTACCAGGCTCCTCCGTCCATGAGATTTTCCAGGCAAGAGTACTGAAGTGGGAAAGTAACTTGCTAACAAGCACTAATTGCTTAGAATAGGACTTGTTGTTTAGTCTCAAAGTCATGTCTGACTCTTTTGCGACCCTACGGATTGTAGCCTGCCAGGCTTCTCTGTCCAGGGGGTTTCTCCAGGCAAGAATACTGGAGTGGGTTGCCATTTCCTCCTAGAGGGGATCGTCCCAACCCAGGGATCGAACCCAGGTCTCCTGCATTGGCAGGTGGGCTCTTAATTGCCGAGCCACCTGGGAAGGCCAGAATAAGACTAGCAGGGGGGAAAAAACAGAAAAGGAAAATAAAATTATCACAAACTAAAGAGATAAGGCTAAAACTAAAGAGAAAAGCTATACTTTTGTTACCCAAATAAACTGCTTCTAAATAATCACAAGTCACCGTATCTAAGACTTCACACGATCCATTGAACAACCTGTACTGTGTCTAACACTGCCAAGCAGGAGACGTGGGTTTGATCCCTGAGTTGGAAAAATCCCCTGGAGAAGGAAATGGCAGCTTAATCCAGTATTCTTGTCTGAGAAATACCTTGGACAGAGGAACCTGGCGGGCTACAGTCCATGGGGTCACAAAACAGTTGGATACAATTGAGCAACTTAACACAGTTGTGTCTGACCACTTTAACCCACATTTTACATGTACACATTGTTTCACACCTGACCCTGGAGCGTGCTTTCTAGCGCAAGTGTGTCCACGGCACCTCTGTGCTTGGCTTTCTCCTCCAGGTTGGAAGCATGGTGTTTTTCCGGTGCCAAAAATGTTACCACGTTCAAGGCTCTACAACTCGAACTTGCCTGGCGAACCTGACGTGGAGTGACATCCAGACAGAGTGCATCCATAAGTGTGACCCTGTGCAAGGGCAGGGCCTGTCTGCTCTCCAGCAGCTGGAAGAATTCACCTTCCTGAGAAACAATGAGGGGCTTATTTTTGTTTGTCTCTTTCCATTACCTAAACTCATTTCTCACAGTCTGATTCCCTAGAACCAGCAGCGGCAGCAGCACCTGGAATTTAGCTGAAGTTCGAATCTTGAGTCCCATCCTGCACATACCTGCAGTATCTGAGGCTCTGGGGGCCAGGGGCGGGTGGGGTGCAGAGGAGGAGGGGGACCCCTGTCTGTAGTTCCCAGGCACCTCCGGTGATACCCAGGCCCCAAAGCCTGAGAACCTGTCCTAAACCAAAGACCGGTGAATAACATGCTGGTTAACACTCACCGAGAGAAAACCTGCATGTGCTACTTCTCCCTTAGGATGTTCACCTCGGATCATTAAAGATCATGTGACTTGTCAGAGTATTAATACAAGTGTTTAAACTCTTCTTTTTGGAGTCCATATGAATTGATAATTCAAATACTTAGGACCAAGTTTTGTTTTGTGATTTAATCATTAGAATTAGGAAAAATGTAATGATTAGTAATAAACCTTTCATCCTCTACCCATCTAGGGCAACGTAGTGTCTAGCTCTTACCAGAGTAGCTATATGCAAATATCTTCTGAGTATGTAAGTTGTGAATTTTGTGTATTTATGTATCAGTATTTATTTCAAAGCTATCATCTCTATTCTAAATCTCTACATGAATTCTCTATGTGAATATTATACAGAGATATCACACATACATGCATGTATATGTATGTATATACACATAGGTGTGTGTGTCGGTGTGTGGAGCTTGCTAACATTAGGTCTCCATTACCTTGAAAATCTGGAGAAGGAAATGGAAATGCCTCCAGTATTCTTGCCTGGGAAATCCCATGGACAGAGGAGGCTGGCAGGCAACAGTCTATGGGGTTGCAAGAGTTGATCTAGCAACTAAACCACCACCATCTTGAAAGTCTGTCAAAGTGAAAAATATTACAATACTTAAAAAGACTGCATTAGTGACATTAATCATATAAACTTGTTTTTATAATACTTGGCTAAGTCCTATATTTGAGACATAAACGTGCACTCTATAAAGAACAATAAGTTATTTGAGATCAAGCATGGGGCTTCCCAGGGTGCGCTAGTGGTAAAGAACCCACCTGCCAATGCAGGAGACATAAGTAAGTGACTTGGCTTTGACCCTTGGGTCAGGAAGTTCCCTGGAAGGAGGGCATGGCAGCCCGCTCCAGTATTCTTGCCTGGGGAATCTCATGAACAGAAGAGTCTGGTGGCTACAGTCCATAGGGTCACAAATAGCTGGACATGACTGAAGCAATTTAGCACACCACACACACAGCACAGCACATTATAACCTTGGGGCTTCCCTGGTGGCTCAGCAGTAAAGAATCTGGCTGCCGATGCAGGAGACGCAGGTTCGATTCTGGGGTGGGAAGAACCCCTGTGGAAGGAAATGGCAACCCAGTCCAGTATACTTGCCTGAGAAGACAAGGCAGACTTGACAGAGAAGCCTGGCAGGCTACCGTCCATGGGGTCATAAGAGTCAAACACAACTTAGCAACTAAACAACAAAACAATTACAACCTTATTTACTCCTAAATGATATTTTTAAAGGAAATAAGAATCTATATTTCAATTAACTTTCTAAACACACAGTGGATTTTAAACAAAATTAATTATTCATTTAACTGAGCAGTAAATTTTCTAGTTGCCACTGGACAAAAATCAAAGCATATTTTAAAGTACACATTAATCTGTGTTTAGTTTAAAGGACTGCTCTTTTAAGGAAATTTAACATATTATTTATCTTAGTGTTAGCTTCTCAGTCGTGTCCAATTCTTTACAACCCCATGGACTGTAGCCCACCAGGCTCCTCTGTCCAAGGAATTCTTTAGGCAAGAATACTGGAGTGAGTAGCCATTCCCTTCTCCAGGGGATCGTCCTGACCCAGAGATCGAACCTGGGTCTCCTGCAACGCAAGCACACTGTTTACCATCTGAGCCACTAGGGAGGCCCCATTTATCTTAACAGTATGTCAGAAGTGTTTATTTTAAAGCTATGATTTCTAAATTTATCTAACATATTCACATACACACATGTATGCAAAGAAGGAGACTAGATAGATGACAGAGAGACAGATGATAAACAGAAGACAGACAGATAGATAGAGACAGAGGAGGAGGAGAGAGTGAGGGAAGGGTAGGGGGAGAGGAAGAGACAGACATGGCAACACCAAGGCTCTGCTGTGCTGTAAGCTGCAGAGACCAGAACGTCAGTGATCTGTTAAGCTCCCGAATTCTCAATTTTAAATGGTAAAGTAACTTTATAGCCATTTCCATCTCTTTCTCTGTATTTCCTTTGACACACATGCTTAAGCTCCAATGGACATACTAATGGACTAAATCCCATTTCAGCTCACGCCTGCCGCCAGCCTGAAACACCAGCCCATGCAGATGTGAGAGCCATAGACCTCCCCACCTTTGGCTACACCTTGGTGTATACCTGCCATCTGGGATTCTTCCTTGCAGGTGGATCTGAGCCAAAATTCTTGGAAACAGAATCCAACAACATATTAAAAAGATCATACATCGTGACCAAGTGGGTTTTATCCCAGGGATGTAAGGATTCTTCAATATTTGCAAATCAAT